GTTACCTATATCCCAATTTTTCCGAAATATTAGATAATAGTAAAAATTTATTGATAAATTTTAATAAATTATTGATATCATTAAACTGCAATGTGTTACGGTTAAGATGCAGCCCATAATAACATTTCAAAATTACATTAACGTTTATTTCTCATCACGTTGGAGATTCATTATTTTTTAACGTCTTTTCAATATATTCCAGCCGTTTCAGGAATTATCGTATTTTATTTCGCTGAATGGAATCCACAATGTTTGAAAACTAATTCAAAAGTTGAAGTCTGCAAATAAAAACTGTAAATTTTTTTGATAGAAACGTCCGCGTTCTTCGCTACAAAGATTGCAAAGCGGAAGATTCTAAAGATGTCAACGAGATAATCGCTCCGAGTAGAAACAATATGCGTAATTGCATCGGTATTAGGATGACAATAATTTAGAATAAAAAAGAACTCAATAATTATCGTCGGAATTATTTAGAATGTCATAGCACGAGAACTGTAATCAAGCAGCATTAGTATTTTGACATCGTGATTGTTTCATTCATTAGCATAAAAAGTGACAATGTACTTTACATTATACGAATGCACTATTATGAAATTTATTACCAAAATTATTGCGTATATTATTACAGGTAGATAAAAGTAGAATAGATAAGCTTGTTAATAAAATTAATTGCAGTGTTTATCAATATCTTATCTAAAAAAAACATGGAAGATTTTTATTTTTTCTTTTTTCCGCGATATTAATCTTTTTGTTTAAACATTAATTTTTACATGTGGTTTATACGGTTTGTGGTTATTGTTTTGTGTTTTATAAAAAATATTCAAAAAGTCTTTTTTATACATTTCCGAATTCTTTGTTTAAATCTTTTCTGAAGACAAAGACGTAATGGTTTAATATTGGTTTAATATAAATGCTCACGAGAAGTTCGGTCCAATTATTCAAGACTATACATTCATGTAATAACCCAATCACAACTTTATGTAATTCCAATATATCTTTACGTGAATAACAGGACTGGTGTTAAATAGTACTACAAATTGCGACAATGATAATATAATAATATATAAATAATGGTGATAAAATTTTATTTTTATTAAACATAATTATAATAAATAATTCTTTGTAACTAAAAAAATAAATGGCGCGTATAATGCGCGCTGGTGCGTCTAGTTTAATAAAATTACTTAGTTCATTTCTCTATCATAAAACTTATCATAACTGTTGCCTTCACTCAATATATTTTATATTATTCAAAAATGCCAAAATTATTTTTGCACATAGACGAATAACTGTCAAAGTGCGTTGTAATAAAAATATTCAAACAAAAAAAAAACAAAAAAAATATTAAATAATCTTTATTTTAATACGAGTATTTAAGATTAAATTAAAGCAAATTAAAGCACATTAAAAACTGCTATTATTGAACAAATAAGAATAGAATAATATAATACGAAATTTATACCAATAAATCGGGGCGTTTTTGTAAAAAAGATCGACGATAATTTGAAAATAAATCTGGTGGTTAAATGCATCCACATTATCATTTTTATGCGATATCTATTGAGTCAATCATATGTATTTATTTCTGCAATGAGTATATCAATTGCATTTAATGCAGCATAAATAATTAAAAAAAAAAAATGCGTTTTTCTTGATATAGCCAAATAAATTTCTTTGATATAGCCATAATTTGAAAATAATTTTATTTAATACATATAGATAATAAATTATTTGTGTATTATTTTTTACAAAATATTTGTGTAAAAGATACGCGCTGTAACGTCTATTTCGCTGAGATGTTATCACTACAGAAAAAAAATTTTATATCAAAAATTACTATGTACGGCAGTAGCCGCGGATTATGAAGGAATTATAGAAATTTTTACTATGTTTGTCACATGTGAAACATAGTACAAATTTTTGGTTTGCGACTTCATGGTCCGCGGTTAATACCGTACAAGGTAATTTCTCATATAAAATTTTCTCTGTGTATACATACTCGGCATGAGATGTTACTGCGTGTTTTGATCGTTGTTAGCTAGATTTGACCAGCAAATTAATATTTACATTCAAATTGAAAATAATTATGCGGCTTCTTTCGTTCTCTACTAAACTCATCGACTGAAAGGTTTTTGTATCAGTTCTTGATAGTTCATCGTATTCAGTTACACGCGTCTAGTCACATCAAACGGACATAATGTCTACATCACTAAATATTGCAGGTAAAAAACATTTCTGGGAATATTATGTAAAACTATCGGATTTTGAAGCACAGTTCAAGTTTTGCGAAAATAAATATATATATTTAGCAGATACAAGCTTAAAAAGACATATGGCAATGCATCATATAAAAATTTGGAAATACGAAGAACAGAAAACAATAATAAAAGGGCCATGGATGTATTTCAATTATTTAAACAAATTATATTCACAATGCGTTATCTGTGATGCACATGTTCTGTCTACATTCGAATATGTAGAAAATCACTTGAGTTCACATTCTGAAAAACAACGGATGAATCACACATTTCACAATTGGCCATGGAAATATTCGACAAAAAGAGATGATTTTGTAGTGGGGTGTAATAATTGTAATAAGAATGTATCTCTTCATGTTCATGAGCATTTGAATGTTCATATAAAAATGAAACATTGGGAGAAATTGAAAAATACGCAAGAAACACACGACACAGTTGATTCATCAGAATGCGTTTCATCACTTCAAACGGACACAACGTCTAAGTCACTATTGTAACTAAACAGCATCTGTAGAAATATTATGTAAAACTATCAAATTTTAAAGTGCAGTGTATGTTTTGCGAAAACAAATATAATTATATAAATACTAAAAATTTCTATAAACATATAGAAAAATGGCATAAAAAAATTTTGGAATACGAACGAGAGAGAAAATTAATAAAATTTCCATGGATGTATTTCAAGTATTTTAACAAATCACAGTAGTAGTTATACTATGGGGGTTCTAACCCAGGGGCAATGAGGGGGTGCGGGTGAAGAGGGGAAGAGGGGTATCGGATAACAGTGGAGGGGGTAATAACGTCATCGTTTTGGAGGAGAGGGGGTAAATGTGGAGTGGTAGGGGTATCAGATTACAATAATTTCCGGAAGATAAGGATTGTTAATACAAATCGCGAGATAAGGATTCCCGGAAAAGATAAGGATTGTTTATTGGAAAGAGAACTGTTTACATCCTATGGTTTTTTCTACACATCAAAGTAGAGCGCCATGTTGTCGGAATCATTATGTTTTATAGTATGCAGGTTCGTGCAGGTTTACGGATTGCGTCATCGCTGTATTTTAGAACAAAAGCCCATAGCAACAGGCAGCCACGTCAACATTTTTCGGCGCCATGTTGTTAGATTTCAATTTTGTATGCAACAAAATAATTCCCGGAAGAGATAAGATGAGGATTGTTAATACAAATCGATAGTTTTAATCAGTGTCGTGTGCAACAAGCGGGTATATAAAGCATGTGAAAAAGAATAGGGAACCATCAGTCGTTCGAAATCATTGTGAAAATCACTAGTTCGCTGTGACGTTTACTAGCAACGATGTTTTGCACCATGTCAACCGTGAATAATCAGATCAACGAACAGCAGAGTGCGAAGAAGCTGCAATTACCTAACGTGTAAGTTGACTCTCTTACTATTTGCACTTTTAAACTCACCGCCATTGTTACACTTTGAACTCACGCAAGCTTTTATCCACAGAAATAAAGTATTCACCAAGTAATTCACAAGAAGCATGATCACGCCTCCCAGAATTTTAGCTAGAAGATACCCGTTGACAAAAACCGGCTATAAATATCTGGATATCGGAATCAATATTTCTACGCCGAGCCACATAGAAATCGCTCTCGGTGACAACCATGGCAGAGAGATACATTTTACATACAACATGTGGAAGATCCTCCTGGATCAACGACATGCCATCCACCATTTCTTTAACAATGATGAAGACAAAGCACATGCATCATCTCAAACCATCGAACATGTCACGCTACGGTTTGGAAAGATAAATAATCTAAAAGTGCTGCGTCTGGAAACATCAACGGTGTGTTTAGCAATGTCACACAACACCATATATAACATGATCGCTCTCGAGTATTGTGTGGATCGTATCGTTCAATCGTTGAACAATGTCACTAGTATGGTCGACATCAAGTTCACACACTTTCGAAAAATCGCGAGCGGTGCGAAGGATCCCATCGCGGTGATACGTGAGAGCGAATCGTTCGATAAGAATGATATAATCGATTGTGAGCTGTTAGCTCAGGTCTTTGGATCGCAATAATTCTAGCATATCACATACTTTATTGTTAAAATATTTTCACCATCATAATGTATTTATTAGATGCATCTGTTTAATAAATATTATTTCAATTAAATTATTTTTTATTATCTCGACTATATACCTTTCTCACCCTATCCGCTATACCGACTTATCCTACAACGCGCGCATCAAAGTAGAGTGTCTGTTTAAATCGCGTCATCGCTGTATTTTAGAACAAAGAGGTAGCATTTGAGCGCCGTTTCTTAGAGGGTGTGATAAGGATTGTTAATACAAATTGTAGGCATCGCCATGTTGCTAGATGCGTCATCATGTTTGGAGGAGTGGGGGTAAATTCGGAGTGGTGGGGATATCATATTACAATAATTCCCGGAAGAGATAAGATAAGAATTGTTAATACAAACATGAGCCATTGTTATGCTTATAGTTAGTGTCGTGTGCAACAAACGGGTATATAAAGCGAGTGAGAAAAATATGAATCTTCAAAATCATTCGCAATGGAGAAGGAGCGCGATCTTACCGTACGAGCAACGAATATCAAAACGACGGGAGAGTTCCTTCCATGGGACTACGAGTGCAACGAGTACCTCGATTCTCTCAAGGAACAATGTCGCAAGAGGCAACGCACCGGAGTAGTCAACTCTCTGGTGGCGCAAATTGCGCGTCTGGAGGGTGTGAAGGACGCCCTGCACGAGCGTTTCGTACCCATCGGTGCTGGATACGGTGGATACGAGAAGAAGGGCTACACGTGGAAGGAGATCGAGACGGCGTTTAGGAACCGTGTGCTGACCGGTGCGATTATCAATCAAAACTACATCGATCCTCGTGAATTTTTGAAAAACGTGAGAAATACGGTTATCGAGCGGATCCAGGGCGTCATGGTGGAACACAACAGCGTCAAGATTAACACCGCGTTCAACGGGGAATTCGTCGCGGGCGACAAGACTGCCGTGAAGACCATCGCCACGAAGAACTGCGAGCTCTTTCCAACATCTGATCTACAAGAATGGTACACGCGGCACGTGGAGGATGATATTCTGGCGGCTTTGGAGGAGTTTCAGGAACGCGATAGCGGATGGGCGTTGTCGCGTATCCTGAATCTCACCGTCAATGTGAACAAGTTCAATCCTCTGCGCGCGGGATGCAACATCGAGTTACCGCGGAAAATTATGCTGAAAAGGGCGGTAGTCAATGTTAAATCAAACGATAATGCATGCTTTGCGTGGGCAGTCGTAGCCGCTTTATATCCAGCGAAAAAACATCCGGAAAGAACGATAGAATACCCACATTACTCAACGGTGCTCAACCTGTGCGGCATCGAGTTCCCCGTGACGCTGTCACAAATATCAAAGTTCGAGAAACTAAACGCCATCTCCGTCAACGTCTTCACCACCGAAGACTCAAAAATCGTCCCTCTGCGGCTCGCCGACGACAAAAAGGAGAAGCACGTCAACCTGCTATACGTGCGTAAAAACAACGATGCACACTTTGCGTGCATAAAGAACCTGCCGCGGTTGGTGAGCTCACAACTGAGCATGCACAAATGTAAAAAGTACATTTGCGATCGGTAAGTAAAAAAAAAAGATGTGTATAAAATAAATCAATATTTTTTATTCATAGTTTTAATCAAATAAATTATTACAGGTGTCTACACTACTTTTATACACGGGAGAAGTTGTCAGTCCACAGCGTCGACTGCGGGAAAATGAACGACTGCGCCGTCGTTCTCCCCAGCGAGGACGACGAGTGGCTGACGTTCCGGAATTACAATCGGAAGGAGCGGGTTCCGTTCGTAGTGTACGCCGATCTCGAATGTACGCTCGAGAAAAAGGTGGATCAGGACGGTACCACTTACGCCTACCAACATCACAGAGCCTTTAGCGTAGGATATTATGTAAGTTGCACGTACGATAATTCTTTATCTAGTTTTAAGTCGTATCGCGGTGAGGATTGCGTGGCGTGGTTCGTCAACGAACTTCACGATTTGACGCACCGTGTGAAAGCGATCCTCACCACCGTCGTCCCCATGGCGGATCTTACGCGGGAGGAATCGGAAAAATTCCGTAGCACCGCGACGTGCCACGTGTGCGAGAAACCGTTTACACCGGACGATACGCGGGTGCGCGATCATTGTCATCTGACCGGGCGTTACCGCGGTGCCGCGCACTCGTCGTGCAATCTAAATTACATAGACTCCGACGTTATCCCGGTGATATTTCACAATTTATCCGGTTACGACGCGCATTTCATTATTAAAGACGTTGCCAATGCTTTCGAAGGCAACGTCGAATTGTTACCGCTGACGAAAGAACGTTACATTTCATTTACAAAAAATGTTAAAGATACCGAAGATCAAAATTCCAAAATTTGCATCAAATTACGGTTTATTGATTCGTTTAAATTTCTCAGTACGAGTCTCGACAAATTGGCATCTTATTTAACTATAGATGAATTAAAAATTTCACGATCGGAATTCAAACATTTATCCGCGGAAAATTTCAATCTGCTTACTCGGAAAGGCGTGTTTCCCTACGAGTACGTCGACAGCGTCGACAAGCTCCGGGACACAAGCCTGCCATCGCGCGAATCGTTTTACAGCTCGCTCACCGGAGAAACGGTATCCGAGAGCGATTACGCGCACGCGACAAACGTCTGGCAAACTTTTTCGATTGAAGATCTAGGTCAATACAGCGATTTGTATTTGAAAACAGACGTTCTTTTGTTAGCGGATA